TTGCCCCCCGTACTCTGACAACTCGTCGGACGAGAGGGAATTGACCCCCACCATGCAACGCCTATCGGTGGCTGAGACCGAATTCCGCTTGGGATATGATCAGGGTTCTGAATCTCCCTGCTGTTACCGAACCTCCTCCTCCTGAGCGTCAGTCGTTCAAGAAGAGATTGGGACCGATGGCATAACCGGTCCGGGCTTTTCCCACGATGCCGCTGGACCGCGTGTGTGTTGACCATATAGACGGGATAATGCACGCAAAGACATGGAGTGCCTACGCTAAGCACGTAGACTCTTATTATCATTTTCCCCATGGGGATTTTGAGAAATCTTTTTCAACTCCAGTCTTGCCGGACTCGGCCATCGACAAACTCGCCGCTGACCGAGGGACAGCTTCCTCCAAGGTTCCCTTTACGGACAAGACCCGTGGAAAGCTAGAGGATGTCACCCGTAGAATGGACTCGGCGGCACGCATGGGTATGTGTGCGACGTCTTTTCTTCTTCTCCTGTCCGAGTACCTGGCCCTGGGGTATGAAGAAGACTCGGTGATACCAGCCGACATGATGGTGGCAGCTCTCCATTACCTTGTTCGCGGCCTATGCTCCACTCTCGACCAGTTCGCTAGAGTGTCGACCTTGGCAACATCGTCACGCCGCGCCAATGTGCTAGATGCGCTTTTCCTTCCTTCACCTGGAGCACGTAAGCGTCTCGACAACCTTCCGCTCTCAGGCCCGGACTTATTTTCTGGTAAGTTCCAGGAGGCCATGGAGGCCGAAGCAAAGCGCCTCAAGGCCACCGAGAAAATTAATCTCAAGAAACCGGCCGAGCAGAAAACCGCGGATAAGACAAAGAAACGGCCCTCTTTTGTCATTCCCCGGCGCCGCCCCCCGGTCAGAGCGGCCCGTGGTGGATTTCGTGGGCGCGCCGATAAGACGGCCGGCCCACGTTTTTCACAACCACATACCGGACAACAGCGTCCCCAGTCGGGACGCGGTTTCCGTGCGCCCACTCCCCGGTACACCGGGGCGTGGCGCAAGTGACTTATGCGTCTCCGAGCGGCCTCCCACCGATGGACCTGTGGGAGGCCGCCTTCAGGAGTTCGTGGGGTCCTGGGTGCAGGTGACTTCCGACCGGTGGGTCCTCGAAACGATCAGCAGCGGTTACACGCTCGAGTTTACGAGGACCCCCCCGTCGGACATGCTTATTCGGACAACGCCCGTACCGCCCGACACAGCAAAACGCCGCTCCCTCGAGGGGGAGATCGATGCCCTCCTTCTAAAGAGAGCAGTTCGTGTTGTCCCCCAAGGGGGGGACCCGGGCAGGTTTCATGTCAACCTTCTTCTTGGCCCCCAAGAAGGAGGCCGGCGTGTGGCGTCCAATACTGAACTTAAAACCCCTCAACAAGTTCATACGTCCCAAACGTTTCCGCATGGAGACGTTACGGACCATTCTCGAATCGATCATAACGCCAGTGTGGGCGGCCAGTATAGACCTGAAAGACGCGTACTTTCACCTACCGATCAGGCCGGAGCACTGCAAATTCCTACGTTTCCAATACAAAAATATACTGTACGAATTTGTGGTGCTCCCGTTCGGGTTGTCCACTTCTCCGCGGGTGTTCACCCGGATCGTGAAGACGATCAGGGCGGCACTGCGGCGACGAGGGGTCATGATATTCATGTACCTCGACATTTGGCTAGTAGTGGGTCGTTTGCGGGGGGAGACGGAAGCGGCGCTCCAACTAACATGGCACCTTGCTTCCGACCTCGGATTTCTCATCCAGTCCCCTCAATCCCATCCAGTCCCCTCGCAGGTTCCCACCTTTCTAGGTGCATCCTTCGATCTTTGCAGGGGACTAGCCCGTCCATCGGAGGACTGCCTGCTGAACCTTCGGCAGTGCGTGTCCCACTTCCTCCCGACGGTAGTGGCTCCGGCCCGAGCCTGGCTCAGGCTGTTGGGCCTTATGGCCAGTTTGGTGGACTTGGTGGATTTTTGCAGGTTGAGGATGAGACCAATTCAACTTCACCTGCTTTCATTCTACAAACCCCGTTGGCACCCGATCGACCATCTGGTGCCCACTACGTCTTGGCTAGTCCCCCACCTTCGTTGGCGGCTAGTCGAGGCCCATATAACGCAGGGCCGCGTTTTCCGCCCGCCCCGCCTGTCGGTACTTATCACGACCGACGCGTCAGGGTACGGCTGGAGGCGACAGGTGGCGGGCGTGTGGGGCCCCGAACATCAATCATCCCACATCAACGTCCTGGAAATGCTGGCAGTCGCCAACGCACTAAAACATTTCCAGTCGGACGTCAGAGGGCAAGCAGTCCTGGTACGATGCGACAATGCCACAGTGGTGGCATACATCAATCACCAGGGGGGCACTCGGTCAGGCCATCTGTGTGCACTAACGTGGGATCTCACCCTCTGGTGCATACATCACGGGATAGCACTGTCGGCATTCCACATCCCGGGCGAAGAGAACGTCACAGCCGACGCTCTCCCCAGAGGCTGGATCGCCCCGACAGAGTGGTCGCTGCTCCCATAGGTGGCTCAGTCGATCTTCTGACTAATCGACCGGCCTCATGTGGACATATTCGCGTCGCGAATGAACAATCAGCTACCGATCTTCTGCACGAGGGGCCCAGATCCCAACGCGTGGCAGACCGATGCACTGTCGGTGCGGTGGGACGGCCTCATTGCCCCGTTCTGGCCCCGCCAGCCGTGGTTCCCCCGGCTCGTCCAACTCTTGGTTCACCGCCCGGTAATTCTACCGAGGAGGGCCGATCTCCTTTATCAGCCCAGCTCGGGAATCAGTCTCCAGGCTCCGGGGGATCTTCACCTGACGTCCTGGGTATTGTCACGCGATCCCTCTGCTCAGCAGGCCTTTCGCGACGAGCTGCAACAATTGCAGCCCAGTCCCGCAGAGCCTCAACCAGAAAGGTGTACGATAGCCGACTACGCCATTTCTTTAAATGGTGCAGACGGCAATCCATTCATCCCCCCAATACTTCTGTAGGGGAAGTGGGGGATTTCCTCCTATACCTTTTTAACAGTGGGCTCACGACGGCCACGGTCAAAATTTATCGATCGGCCGTTGCCGCGATCCATCAGGGGTTTCCGGACGGTTCTTTCGTTTCCGGCAACCCTGCAATTAGCCAACCTTTAAAGGGGATGTTTAATACTCGTCCCCCAGTACGCACATTAATCCCATCTTGGGACCTCTTCAGTGTACTATCCACACTGGCGAAGGCTCCTTTTGAACCAATGGATTGCTCACTTTGTTACAAATCTCCATCAAAGTAGTTTTTCTGTTGGCTGTCGCTACGTCCCGACGACGTAGCGAACTACACTCATTATCGGTGCAGACAGGACACATCCGGTGGGAACCGGGAGGTGTCCGCATGATCCCTACGGCCGGTTTTCTTGCAAGTTGGAAGCCTTTACGCCCCCAGACATCTTTGTCCCGGACATCAAGTCTTTTTCGACCGAGACAAACGACAAGCTTTGGTGCCCAGTTCGAGCACTTAAGTGGTATGTCAACCGAACGAAGTCACTTCGTACGGGACACGGAAAATTGTTCATCACAACGACCCCGCCCTATGGGCCGGCTTCCCGCGATACAATCACCCGCTGGATCGTGACAGCCATCCGTTCCGTACTGGGCGGCTGGCCAGCGACCGAGGGACCCATTTGAGCGCATGAGGTCAGGGGAGTGTCCACCTCGTGGGCCTTTTTTAAGGGTGTCCCCCTAGGTGACATCGTCAAGGCAGCCTGCTGGAAGAACCCTAACACGTTCTCCGAATGCTACCTGAAGGATGTCCTCCAGGCAGATGGCAAGGCTGGAAGAGAAGTGCTGAAGGCGGCCAGTCGAGCCTCACAGAAGCACTAACGGGTGAGCATATAAATATATATTTCTATGGGCATTAAGTCTAATGAGGTGTACCTATCATGTGTTTATCCCCATAATGGTGACACCCCCCTGACCTTTTGCACACAAGCTTTTTGGGTTCCACCTACGAGGTGAAGCCTAGAGCGTCTTGGGTGTTTGGTTTTTGTTTGGTGGTGTTTGCCTTCGGACACGCCTCATGTCCTACACCCCTGTAGACATACGGTAATTCGCATATACCCTCCGCCTTACTCGGTGCGAGTCTATGCATAGGTAGTATTCGCTCTACAGGTAAGTAGAGTGATGTAGACTCCCCCCCCCCCCCCCCCCCAAGTAGTGTGGTTGGGGTCTGCGAGCGAATACTTACCTGTAGAGCACCCCTCCCTCCTTCCCCACTATACTCGATTCCTTGAGTGCTTACGCAGGTAACGCTTGAGAAAAAGAGGACGCTAACGTAGTGCGCATGTCACAGGGCGTCGTGGGTAGGACACGTGAGGGCGCTATTGTGTTTAAAACTCTTAGCAAATTGCCTGCCGGCATAGGGAACAATGCATAGGTAGTATTCGCTCTACAGGTAAGTATTCGCTCGTGGGGGGGGGGGGGAATTTTTCAGAGCAGTCTCATAGGGTTTGTGCACAGGGTGTTGTAACGAGTTCCACTCGGAAGTATAAAAAAAAATTACTTTTGATGACACACCCCCTCAAAAATCTTGCCTCCAAGCTGAAAACACAAGCAAATTTGATTTAAAAAGTCAGGGAAAGTGGCCCTGAAATGCCTCAGATTTCACCACAGAGCATCTGGAGTCCAAAATTTTCCGTGGCCCTTGAGCGGGCCCCGTAGTCACTGTAGTGATAAGGAAATAGCCCAAGCTGTTGAAAATGAAGCAATTTTGACAAGAAATTCCTCAGTCAAGTTAGTAGACTGGGGTTATCATCAGCGGTATCAGAAATGCTGTGGACAAAACGTGATCATGATGGAGGTACATGTAGGTCGGCATGGTTGGATGGGTTTCACCTACACTAATATTTTGCCTTTGGAATGTCCACAATAACCGCATTTCAAAATTTGTGGTGCTAAAAAAAAAGCTATGTACTCTACAAATCGCCTTTTTTTAACATATAATCGCTTGCACGCTTGCACGCGAGGTCAAAAGGTCAAATTAAACACCGCCGCCATATTGTGGGACAACGATCCACCGCGCAGCTTGAAACTAAAGGTTACGCCATGGTTACACATACCGGTAATGGCAGGACAACTGAAGACTTCGATTAAATTGTCAACATATATGCTGACTGCCTACCACCTTCAGAGAAAGCAAGATACATAAAGAAAGCAAGCCATGTTGGTATTGACCCTTATGTCATTCCAAAATGTGAAAAATCCTCCCAACTCGCAGACCTGCCCGAACTCAATTCAGTGGACGTGATGGCGTACCTTATTCATGCCCCGAGCCCGTACACATCGGAAAATTTCCGTAACTATAAATCGTCAGAGGCGTACAACCAGTTCCTCAATGGATGGGTTTCGGATGTGGCAACTTACAAATTAATTGGTCGGAACAACACAAGAATAGTGACAGGACAGGTAAGATATTTATCGGACTTTTTACGCTAAACAATTATACTGTCCGTGCCGCCATCATCATGATCATGGGCATGGCCATGATTTGGGTACATACTCGGGTTGGCGGCCAGTGCGGCACCATCCCGCATACACGTACTGTTTATGTGGAAAACGGTTGCTCATTCCCACGGTTTCAAGTTGTTTTTTTCTTGACTGACAAAACAGCGATGTAATGAGGTAGTGATGGTGAACTGAAAAGAACTGTCTCAGTGTATAATAATTAATACCCTGGATGAAGGTTATTTCCGTTTGGAACAAAAAGTCCCTGATGTGAGAGATGATGACCAGGATGACTGATACCTTCACTTGTGCAAAATTAAATTTGGACACGTCTGAAGCAGACAGCAAAATGGCCGCCGTCCAAATGAGTTGTGCACAATTGTGGTTTTTTTTTCAATATTTTTATTTCATGAGGAAATAAAGGTATCGCAGTTAAATTTTGGATATTTTGTATTGGCTGAACATATGTATTACAAAATGTATGCACTCCAAGGATTTACAGAGACCTTTACTTAATTGTTTTACAAAGTCTGCACTACGTTTTACTCCTAACATTGTTTAATGCACGGTCCCTATAAATCATTATTTGACCCTCAATTCTCATTTCAAAAGCCATGTACTTTAAGTTTCTTTTTAAAGTGGGATTAAATGGTGATGATTGCAAGAGAGGTTCTGTTATGTCAGACCTAGTGACAATATGGTTCTCTAATCTTCTGGAATGTAGGTATGTTTGAAAGTAACATTTTTTGTTCTGAGAAAACTATTGTGTGCACATCAAGGAATATTTGTGTGGTCCTTGATTGAATATGCCTTCTTTTTGCTTCCCTCAATTCTGTCAATCTTCAGGTAATGCACTCACAAACACCAGGTGCTAAACCTTACCAGGCGTGGTGTGTTGTAGACAGCCCTGGAAGTATTCGCAGCGCACACTGCAATTGCAAAGCAGGCCTCGATGAAACTTGCAGTCATGTATCTGCTGTTCTATTTGCCATTGACGCTGGGATTCGCATCAGAGAAAAATCAACCCCCACAATGGTCAAAGCTTACTGGATGCAGCCAGGAAAAAGGGAACTTGATGCACAACCACTTCACAGCATTGACTTTTCTTCCTCCAAGGCTAAAAAGAGGAGGGCAGACCGTGAAATTGACCACAACGCACATGAGGTGATTTCAGTAACCTGTTCTAACACACAACCTGATCGGATGACGAAGAGTGTAATTGCTGGACCGACTGAGGATGAACTTAGTTCCTTCTTGCACAGTCTTTCAGTGTCAGGCATCAAGTGTGCGGTGCTTTCAGGGTTTGAGCCTTATGCAGATGCATTTGTTCCAGTTGAGCAGAAGAAGGAGTTTCCTGTGATACTGACTGACCTGGCCGATCCCAAAAACTTTCACATGAACTACACTGATTTGCTCAGGAAATGTAATGAAATTAATATTACAGTGTCTGCAGAAGCTTCTAAAAATGTGAAGGCGGAAACAAGAGACCAGTCAAAATCCAAGATGTGGTTTCGCTATCGTGCTGGTAGAGTCACCTCCTCCAGGCTCGGTGCAGTTTGCAAGACCAACCCAGCAATGCCAGCTATGAGTCTCATTAAATGCATTTGCTATCCAGACATACTGAAGTTCTCTTCACAAGCCACAAGATGGGGATGCTGTCATGAAAAGGAGGCCATTGAAATATACACCGCACAGATGATGCAGACACATGAAAACATCAAGGTGGAAAAGAGTGGTCTGGTTCTGAACACCATGTATCCATTTTTTGGTTCTTCACCAGATGGGATTGTCAACTGTAGCTGCCATGGAAAAGGTTGTGTGGAGGTCAAGTGCCCATACTGCAAGCGAGGCCAAACCATTGATAAAGCTGCAACAGATCCACAGTTCTATCTGCAAAAATCAGACAGTGGGGAACTCGAACTTCGCAAAACACAACTACATGTACTACTACCAGGTTCAATCTAACATCAATGAGGTATTGTGACTTTGTTGTGTGGACAAGCAAGAACAACAGCCTGCACATTGAACGACTACAACCAGATACACTGCTATGGCAGGAAGCAGTGCAAAGAGCTGAGCACTTTTTCAGGGTAGCCGTCTTGCCTGAATTAGTTGGCAAGTATTTTACAAAAGTTCGAGATGTTGAGAATCAGGAATTTCACATAACATGTGGCCCAACAAGTTCATGCTACTGCGAAAAGCCATCAGAGGGTGACATGGCCAAATGTGGAAATCCAACATGCAAATGAAGAGAGTTTCATTTGAAATGCCTCGTACTAAAGAACATGCCTAAAAGGAAGTGGTTGTGTCCACAGTGCAGAGGACTTCCTCAGTTCAGGTGCAAAAATAAGAAATGTCAGCATGAATCTCTCTTGTCTGAATCACTTCATGTGACAGAAGAATGAACTTTGCTGTACATGCAAAATATTGATACCATGTTTTCAGCAAAACATTACATTTGACATTCAGCTGATGTATATGTTTAGGGATGGCCAACAACTCCATTTCCGTTTTGGGTTTTGGAGGCTTTTTGTGGGGAATGTATTTTTGTTGTTCCTGAAGTCAAAAGGAGACACATTGTCTTTGCCAGTTGTAGTTTTCATTCATAATGCCACCTAAAAAGGCATTTTGTTATAAATGTAAACGTGTCTATTCTACAGTTTACTGAAGAAGATCCCATCTGTGTATACCCTAGCTCAAAACCTTGATACACCATTGACAAGTTGCTAATTGGTGTAGGTGAACAATTTTGCTTATTTTCTGTTTGAACAGTTTTGAAACAGCAGGTCTTTCTTTTCTGGGGATGCACTTGTAAAATGTTGGGTTTTGGTCTGCTAACCCTCCTACTTTAGCTGGCAAATGAGGAAACACAGTGTCACCAGTCAAAATCATTTAATGGGCTGCTTTTTCTAACAGAACATCCACAGGCCTGTGCTGGGGAAAGGGGATGCTGTAGTTGCTTATGCACACCCCCCCCCCCCCCCTCCCCCAATAAGAATGAAACCAGCAAGGATTTTTTTTCCAATCGCCAAATAACACAATTTGGACTGAAATTTAGGAAAGCCAAAAATAAAACACGAAATCCAAACTGTGTTACAAAATTCTTCTCTTTTATAAATTGCTGCCTACACTTACATGTATGGTCACGCAGGCCCCCCCCCCCCCCCATCCCACCCCAGCTGGAAATCCTGAAAACAGGCCTGTTCCTTGCTTACGTCGCATAGGAAATACATTTTATTTTGTTTGAATATGACTGCTCAAACAGTAGGAGGGCTTAAGGAAGGCAGTGGGAGGGGACATCTGCACCAAAACTTGTTGAGGTTTCAGGTATTGGTTATGACAGCTTATGGAAACATTCTCATCAACAACCCTCGCCCCTCAGGATCCCCTAACAAATCCCAAGGAGACTGTTAATCTACTAGGAAATATGTATTTTTTTAAAGTTACTTTCGGGGAATAAAATTTTTGTTCGTCAAGTCAAATGGAGATACATTGTCTTCTAAAGCCATTTCTAGCTTTCATTGATAATGACAAAACATTAAATCCCAAAAGTGTTCCAAGATTCTTTCCATATAAAAATTGCTGCCTATGCATTATGGTCTTGGCTTTAGAAGACAAGCTGTAAACAACTTCTATTCTACAGTTAACTGAAAAAAAATGCAAGAGTAAAACTTGACATTAATGTAATTGTGCAAACCTCAGAACAAGAAAAAGAAACAGCTCAAAATGATAACTCTAGGTCTACTTCACTCTACTTACCTGTAGAGCAACACTACTTATGCATATTCCCCCTACCGGCAGGTATTTTCGCTAAGAGTTATATACAATAGCGCCCTCTGGCGCCCTACCCATAACACCCTGCGGCATGCGTGCCTCGTGAGCGTCCTCTTTTCTCTTAGCGGCAGGTCGGGTAGGACGTGCGTGAAATAGCTCGCTGTTTGCCTCGTCATTTACTACCCTTTTTTGCGTTTAAGAGAAGTATTTAATAAAAGAGTTAGTAATCATTAGTTTGTAGAGTTTCATCATCTTCTTGGTTTCATTTATTTCATAAATATGAAGCGTTTGGGGAGGGCCGATCTGTCACTAACCGTTAGGGAGAGCTTTCCCACGGGACGGACCGAGTTCTCGGGGGACTCTGCCGTTAACGCTCCGACGTTACCGCGGCAGCAGTCTCTCGTCCGGCACCCTCAGCCACAGTCGGCTGGGGGAGTTGGCAGTTCCGCCGATCAGTTAAGGGGACCTCGGTCACCTTCTCGGGTCAACTCGGGCGGAACACCCAAACTAAAGGCACACTCCGGCAAGGTTCCCCTAAAACATATCGCCTGTGCCGGAGCAAAGCCTAAGAAGGGCCGTCAGGGCAAGCGTGGCTCGGCAACGAGCGCCGCTTTGGCACCTAGCCCTCCCCCGATCACGGGGCAGCCCGAGGGGACTAGCCGTCACACTTCGGTGGGCTCTAGTCACCCGTGCCCTCCCGACACAGTGCCGAACACCACTGGTTGTCGGGATGGGCTATTGCACGGGCTACCGGTCCGTCCAGCGCTTGCTCAGCCCACGGCGCCTGAGGCGCTGTCGGCCGGGTGCATTATGAGCGATACGGAGCCGGTCGCCCCGGGGGATCCCGGGCCGACGGCCCCCGTGCTAGCTCTCTCAGAGGGACTACTCTCGTCTTCGGATTTTTTCCGTTGTTCGGGAGTCCCGATGCCCCAGGTGACACACCTCGGGGCCGTTCTTCTACAAAGAAGAATAAGAAGAAGAAGGTTGCACGTCGATCGCACCGTTCTTCTTTGGGTTCTGACGACTCCTCTGACCGGTCCCGCCTGGGCAAACGCTCCCGGGGGGAGGACGCGGTTTCTAGAGCAGATTTCCTGCAAACTTTTCAGTCGATTCCCGATACGCTATCGGCTATGTTGGCAGACCGCCGGGCGGGCCCTATTGGGGGGCCCCCTGCAGCGGTGGACTACGGCCCACAACCATCGGTCGTTGGGCCCGCATCGCAGTCTTCAGTCACCGGTCACGCTTGGGTGACCCGTGAACAAAGGGACTTACTGCACAGTTAGCCGTGCTCCTGGAGTCTTTATCTGCAGTGAATACTTCATAGTCCTCATTCATTGGTCACGATTGCGTGGCCCAAGCACGACGAGGTACATGTACAAAAATGAAAAAACACATGTTCATACATGTACATGTACACATGTATACCACACATGGTTGCGCGCTATACCGGAAGCCCGGCCTACGGCGAACGGGACTTCACATTCGCCGGCCGTGGACCACGGTCGCGTGGTCCAGAGACAACGGGACCTACCGCACACAGTTAGCTGTGCGCCAGGATCCCCGCTTGTGTTGAGTTTTCACCATAATATTATGTATATTATCTCCGAGGGTGTTGCCCAGCCACTACCGCGTGGTTCTGTACAACTAGTCCCTCCAGACGGCTCTCAGTCATCGGGGTCATTTTGGCCTTCGCATTCGGCTGATTCATCCGACAATGACGGAGAATCAGACCGGTTGCAATGGCTGTCCATCGCGGAAGCGAAATTCCGTTTGCTGCAGAGGGACATTACACGGGTATTTAAATTACCCTCCGCCGATGAGCCCCCTCCGCCCGATTACAAAAATTTTCAAATCAAGCGCAGGACGGGCTCCAAATCTAACAATGACAAGGTGTTCCCCATACCTCCGTTGGATCAAATGTGAAACACATCGACAACGGACAAAGTGGTGTCCTTTTCTCAGGCGGGAACGGTTTTATTATTTTTCTAATCCGGCCGAGTTTGTTGCACCGATCCCACCGCGGCATACGCTACCTGGATGAGGACTCGGTTTTTCGGCCCACTCATTACAAGCCTTGCAATTGTTCTCGGCTTTATTATCGGTCATACATGTACATGTACATGTATACGTTTTATACACGTACATGTATTGCCAGGCGGGCACGTTAATGAAACGTCCGTCTTCGTTCAGTTGCGAGCCGTGAACTCTGTAGCCCTCTACATTAAACACGGTTGGGTGACTCGAGGACAATGGGACACACCGCGCAGTGCTTATAGCCGTGCGGCGGTGTTTCTTGCTGTACTGAGATCGCTACATTTTTCATGTACATTGTACATGTGTGCATTACTTGTGTATGTACACTGTCCATTGTCTCCGAGGGAGTTGTTCAACAGCTGACTGTGGCCGTGTGCAACTCGTCCCTTCAGATGTGTTTTACGGTTCTCGTTTACGGGGTCTATTCGACTCTTGCAGGCATGTTGTGGATCACATTCGAAAGATTGTGCCTGTATTCAAACTGCCTGCTGCTCTTCAAGCAATAATGGGATCATTACCGTTTTCCGTTAGCGAAATTCGGTATTTTTGTTGTTGTTGTCACATCTTCCCTCTTCAATGCAGCTAAGTACAAGCTGCCAGCAGTAGAGGGACCCCATTATTCAAGTGGCTCTTCGTAAATAATACTTGCAGAAGCTTGAATACACTTTGCAGTGGAATAATAAAGTGGGTTCGGCGATACGCGTTCAGCCTCCCTCTTTACCCTCATTAAGTACATTAGGTTTAATGTTTTAATCTTGACTCGACAGTCTTAGCGGACGTGTTGACCGCTATTTTCTTTATCAATTTCACAGTCTGCACTCAGTACTCTATAATTTTACACGAGTGCAGACCCTAGCAATCTTGGCCCGCCGGGGTAACATGATTGATGAACTGTTTCTCCCGTCAAAGGGCGCCCGCCAAAGATTCGGGTCCCACCTTTTAAATTTTTAACGGACAAAGATCTTTTCTTTTGCGGTGGATATCGATGTTTACATCCATATTGGTCGATGTCGACTACATGTGGGCCAGCGCAGGTGAAGAACAAACAGTTTGTTTTCTCAACTGCATACCTCTTGAAGATGGCCCAGATGTTTTTGTGTGGCCGTGCTAGCAACATTTGCTGTACGCCATGCCACATAGGATAATGTAACAACGATTTCGATTCGGCTTCAGTTGTTTTGATGATTTCCATAAGTGACCTACCTGACTCATGACGACCTCCACCCATCTGTCTCGTAGGAGCTCGTCAGAGAGATTTTGAGGCTGACATCAATAACATCGGGCCAGCACAGTGTTGCGCCCGTCTTGTATTTCCCTTGGAAAGATGTTGATGAGATTTAGTCGACTGTCTAACACATCAGCATGGGGAATGAGCCCTGGCCTGAGGGGTACACAACTGCAACTCATTTTCAGGCCAGAGCACTGAGAATTTCACGGTTTTCAAACCAAGATTCTCGCTGCAACTTCATGGTGGCTCCATCCAGCCATTTTTTCGCCTCACTCCTGGCCTCTGCTCAGATAGTAAAGGCGATATGACTGCGCCGTGGAAACAAAGATTGGTGGCATTCACCTATTTGCTTGTATCGGCCCAGTCCTCACTGCATTCAGTGCAGGCCATGACCTGACTTGTGCAGTACCTCCTGTGATTCGGCGTTGCCAACCTCACAAGGGTGGGCCTCTCACAGATTGCAGCCTAATTCATTAACTGTCATGGCGAACATGTTACCCTGCCAGTTAACGGCCCACCACACGCATCTAGTGGCGGATTGGTGAGGCCCTGTGTGAGCATCATTCAAGTTCCATTAACATACTTGAGATGCTGGCAGTCTCGGAGAAACTGCGATGTTACTTCTATATTCGGTGTTGTGCCAGATGATCCTGGTTCGATGTGACTTTGACACAGTTGTAGTTTACATCGACGACCAGGTGGGTGTGGTATTACTGACAAGGCTGGAGAGATTATATATATCGGCTTCAACACGGAGTGATTTATTGACAATCGTCTGATCGTTTTACAGGGAGGTTTCACACATAACACACGAGTACAATTGTGTACGTTGCATACGTAACCAAGGATAGACATGAATAGACTTGTACCAGTCATGCGTTATATCACAACACCTTCCCCCTAAAGAAAGTATTTTTCTTA